ACACGCACATACATACTCACAAACACACACACACACACACACATATACACACTCGCATATTCACACACACACACGAGCACAGAGCAACACATACCAAATCTGTTCTCCACTGAGACATCCTAACCCTCACATCAATGTCTTTCTGGTCTACTTATTGACCCTTTGGCTTTTTGCGTCCTGACTGATAATGAAAACAATAAGCTTGAAAACAATAAGCTTGAAAACAGCTTTGCCTTGGCTGTAAATATAAAGGTATTACATTGCCCAAGTACTTCTTTCCTCAATTCAGAAATTGACTACCTAAATACGCTCGAAAGGAAAGTAGGGTCATTACGTTTAGAATCAAGAAAGGCGTAATAATAATACAATAATAGATTATCTGTAACTGTGTAACGATGACCAATATACTTGAGAAGATTTTTTTCTCTAGGGAAAAAGAAGATATAAGGATTGAGACGACTTGTGGTTTATTTAATAGCCAAGGAGACAATTTCTGGCAGAGGAGATTTTGACACACTTTGAGCATTCAATTTGAAGGCTGCATTTCCACTTGTATATGGTATGTCTTACTATTTTACATCTGTGATACTAATTGTAGACAACTTCAATAAACGATATTCCGTCCAGCTTTACAGCCACTCAGGTGTTTTGGTATTGTTGTTCTTTTGGTTCAAATAGGTGTTTGTAGTTGTAGTTTGTTGCTTTTTTTTTGCACCCCTGCCCCCTGCACAAACACAAAAAGTCACTAACCCCGTGTTTAGAAAGAGCGGGATACAACGTCTCATTATTCAAACAGAGATACTCGATAATAAAAAAAAACAAGCAAAAACAAGGAATACAACAACAAGAACCAAGCGGTAATCTCATTTATTTTACCCAACCTCTTCACCACGGAAGCCTGTTAAATAAGAGGCTTACCACTATCTTGCATTCTGTGGATCACAGCTGAATAAGTAATTATTTTTAGATCGTTCAATATACTCAAAACTTGGAAGTAGAAATAACAGGAAATGACGTGGACAAGAAATGTTTTGTCATACACAAAATTGTCTTGAATGCTGCCAACTTTAAGACTGGAACAGAATTGGAAATCAAGACACAAACAAATCTAGATTTAAAAGCCAACGCAAAAATGACAGGGAAAAATATTAAACAGAGAGTGAACAATTCTGTGTCACGCTTCAAGAGCGATGTATATCAGGAAAGGTAAGCGCTAAGTCGAAAGAAAGGGGAGG